AGCTTATACTGAATTAGACAAGAGGTTATCTCAAGCCTATCAGCGAACGATGTTTTTGTCGTTACCGCTCCAAGTAGGAGCAACGGCATGAAGTAAGTTTGGTGAGTGGGAACGACACTCAAACTGACTCTTCCATATTTGAAGATGTTGAGACAGGCATCACACATGACGGAAAAAACTGATATTTTTTGGTAGAAAATAGCAATACTTGGCAACCAGACACTACTCTAAACAACTATATAGATTAACTGAAGTATACAATTTTAGAATTTTACGATTTTGTTAATATCGTGTTCAACAGTCATCATTTGATGGCGCCTTGAAATGTCTGTACGACGCCATAGTTGTTGCCCACTGGCAGTGACAGAGTTTCCTCTGTAGCGGACGGGGTGACTGACTCGTTCTTCGACGTGCTGCAATGTGTTGGCAGTGGTTAATGCGTGCAAGTTTTTCGTTACGGCGTAATGTGTGCGAGTTTTGGGGTTTCTTTGTGCTGTTCTCGTACATCTTTCCGTGATAGCATCTTTCCTACTTGCATTTCCAATTTCGGTGATGGTACTGTTCTTACAGGGAATGTTTCACGTTTGAAGTTATTAAAACAAACATCAGATATGACGAAACAAGCACAATTATAACTACTGGCATGCTTTTTAAGTGAAAAACTGCTTCGACTGCACAATTTACTGTTTAGTAAATGTGCTCTTCAATGCGACGTGGTTTGACTATGTCATGACACATTGCCCAACATTGATTAAGAGCTAGTGGACAGCCATTATATCTGGAAAGCGCGCTCACAAATGCGAGATATGAAGGTCTCGACAATTGTGTTCTTCTTGGTCTTGATCACCGCATAGTTTATGGGATGGCAGCATTTTATTGGCGTCATTATGACGTCATGAATGCCAAGGTGACTTTGAAATGGCCTTCCCGATATACCTTTACCCATTTTTGAGGGCGTGTAGCTCAGAAATTTGAGCGGCTTATATCTAAAGGACAGAATTGTGATCAGCACCCAAAGGTATTCGGCATGGCCATTTCAGTTCAAAACCATCTATAAATGTTGAACACTCCCGAGCTACTTGCTTTTTAGCCTCATGTCTGTCATAACCAGTGCCTGCGCCCAAGTGCCTGTGTTGCTCATCACAAAGTGCGATTCGTGATCATCTGCCCCTGCATCCCCTTTCTTCCCCGATCCTGCACCCTCCTGACACCCCGCTGTTCCACGACAGATTGCGTGCGGCTGCCACAAGTGGGCCGAAGTGGAGTGGTGAGGGGTGCAGTGGAGCAGGCCCTGGTGGAAGCCCCCGTCCGAGCGCCAAGCGTACCTTGCAGAGTCCTCGCGCAGGATTCGTTGAGGCGGTTGGGTCCAAGGCGCATGTAGTTTTGCCCTACCGTTATCCATTCTTTGTCATCGTATAGTCGATAGTCAGTAGAATAGTCATTACTCTTCGAAAGAGTGCTAGTCCAAATTACTAAAAACGCGCTAATAGCCACGCCATCGGCAGCTACATTTTCGTCCCGACCAATTGCACTCTGCCGCTGCATCGCTTGGTGCTGAGTCATAGCAAACATGAATGCGTTGGTGGCAATTAGATATTCTGCACCATAAGCGTAGCACAGCTAACGATGTGGGCCCTTTGGCGTGACGTTTCGTTGACGTCATTTATGCATGATTACTTCGCAATTAGGTGGCGCCAAACAAGTTTGCGTGCGTCAGGCTCAGAAACAACAGGATTTGAAGCCTTGAAACTTGCATGGATGTGAGCTGCAGGAAATGCTTGTGAAATGCATTTCTTAGTTCAAAACTCCATACAAATGTGCAGCAGTTCTCTGAGCCTCAATAACGACTACTGAGCAGCGGTGTTAGCTTAGAGGTCAAGGTAATAAGAGTAGTAAGATAACCATTGAGCTTCGGTGCCACGCACTGGAGAGCTATCAATGTGGTTGGATACCGAACTAACAGAACCGGCAAGGCTCACTTGTTGTAAGCCTTTTCAGCAGCCAGAGCGTAAGAAATAGCTTGCTGTGCGCACCAAAACAATTTATTAGCGAAATTGTTGAAACTAAGGGACACATTTTTATTATTCAAAAGCATGACCGGTTGAAGCATCGTTTTTGGCTAATTTTCTGTCACCTGTATTTTGTGTAACCGAGATCTCAGATGCTATTTCGAAGCAAGTGATGACGGTCGTCAGGTGATAAAAAGACAATGGATGGTGGTTGTGCTGCATCGGCGCATCCACATGGTCGGAAAGGGAAACTCTGTAATTTGACACAGAATGAGGCCAAGGTATCCAATACAAAACATATGACGGAAATGAAGACCAGGAACATAGTTCAGTCGACACCTCTGCAACGTGTGCACCACCTCTCTTCTCTGTTCACTTAACGAGTGCAGCCACCTAATGCATTTTTGATATTTTTCAGTCTTGTTTTCAAGTCTGACATATCTATGAAACTCCGGCCAGAAATGTGCCTATACTTTTTGGAAAAGAATAACACAGAAAATGAGTCAAAAGTGATATTAATGCCTCCGTGGTTTTTGTAAATGTGTTGTATGCCATTTCTTGTCGTAACCCGCTGTGCATTGACAAATCTAAATTATAACTTTTGAAAAATAGATTTCAGTGGGCATGCAGTGCTCTGCGTTCTTCTCACGTCAATCAGATAAGATTATATCAGCGATGGGACCTTAGAGGACCCCGGCAGGTCGATGAAATAAGCTGTTTCAGCTTATCTTTAAGGGGATTGCACTCATTTAAGCCCAGCACGTAAGGCGCCAGACGGAGCGCAAGGCCCCAGACGGAGCGCAAGACGCCCGGTGTTCAGGGTGAAACTCCACTCCAAGGCGTAAGAATGACTAAAGGGTCGGAAGGAGTCCGCATTTTCAGATAAATGCACTCAATGCAGCACCACAGGGTTAGCATGCGCCCCGGGCGGCCGGCTGAATGCCCCTCGCCCGGGAGGGGGTTAGATTTGAACCTCACTGAGATCTCGGTAGCTAAGGTAGCTGGAGACAGCAAATTTACCGCGTGGGTTGGCCTGTATGTGAGCTAAATTGTGCTGCCAGATTTGAGGCTCCTAGATTTTAAGTCAAATAAGGTCAAACAAGTTCAAACGCCAGATTGGCGTCAAAGGTGCCCTCAGACCTCCTCGTGCAGCCACCGTGTACATATATTTGTTCTAAGCAAAAGGTTAATGGTGTTCATTTAAGGTCAGTGGTTTTGTTTCACTTTAAAAAGGTCAAAGTGACCAAAAACCTAGGAGATTGCTTTTATTTTTCCATGCAGAGAAGCATGAGGGATGACGTCAGGCGATATGTTCCAAAAATCAAAATGTTGGACTGGGTCATTTTTGGTCATTAGCCTACTTTGGCGTCTCAAAAGTTTATAAAACATCTGTTGTGCTGCCTGTCGTTAATAAATTTGAAATTGACACCAAAAACGACCCCGTAAAGCAAGCTCTCGAGGAAAAACGCCGGTTAGTTTTAAGCGCGATCTAACCTTCATACGTGACCCAGGTCAGCGGAATTTGATTTAATTCTAAATGCAACTGGCTTTTGCCTAAGAAACTATCTTAGAGGTGCATGGTTTCGTCTGACGCCCCCGTTGTCGCAACGGATTTAACCATTCCTTAGGAACTGCCCCCGATGACAGCCATGGGCCTAGCTTTGACCTACCATGCGTCAGCGGCCTCACAAGGTACATATATTTCTTATAGCAAAAGAGCCGCTATTCATTCGCATACAGCTATGCAAAGTTTGGCGCGGCCATGCTGCGTCGGTCAGAAATCATCCCGGAAAAACCTTCGGGGGTCAAATTGACCGCTCCCCACCTGAGCGCGTGTTAATGCTAAACTTCCACGTGAAGACTCAACGTGGCACCTGCCCCTGCCCCTGCCCCTTTGCCCTTTTCCCTGTATTCGTTTCAGACCCTTTCGCCGCTCCTGCCCTTGCCCCTGTCCCTGTTTCTGGCTCTTTTTCTTTTATCTGCCTCTGTTTCCACAGCCATGCATGTGCCGTCAAACGCTTCGAATCTAACCGCAGTTTGAAGTGGGATATGACCGTGGACGTCTTGGTCCCGATCTGTTGTACTACAAGCTGCCACTGACCACATACGGCAGTATGCTTTGGTCTTGACGCGCCATAGTGCCAAAGATGCTGTGCATTTTCGGCGACATCCTTTGGTGCTCTTATCAACTGAGGAGTTCGTGATAACATCGCATGACATTCAGAACAGCTTAAGCATACTGCTCAGATTGGTGCCAGCGCCAGTCCGAGCAGTGCAGCTGCGAAGTAACACACCGTGCCGTCTTCCTGCTGTAATCAACCCAGCCTGGTCGTTTATGCTCAGATCCAGATGGCTACTTCCCCGGTGCGGCGAACCGTGCGGAAAAACCCGGCTTTCGGGTGATGAAATGTCGGCTGTCATGCAAACGGTGCTCCCAGCGTATAAACACTGACTGGCAAATCTGACTTGGGGTTTAACAGAGAGCTGTTTGAACTCTGCAAGCTGGGGACAGCACGCTGGTGCGGTAAAGAAAATGGTGACCAGGGCTGGAATAGGAACAGTAACCTAAGGGAAATCATGGAGTCAGCGAGTCGCGATCATTCGAGCGATCCGGCTCCCACCATGCCTGGTCCCTCTCGCTACAGCTTCATAAAGCATCTTAGCAATGCGAGCAAAGAGATGTCATCGACGTCACTGCCTACCGAACAACAGAGCAATGTTGCGTCTGTCATTCATTTGTCATGGGGCTAAGGTGATTTTTCAAGATATTTGTCATGGGGCTAAGGTGATTTCTCAAGACATTTGTCATGGGGCTAAGGTGATTTTTCAAGACATTTGTCATGGGGCTAAGGTGATTTTTCAAGACATTTGTCATGGGGCTAAGGTGATTTCTCAAGACATTTCATCTCTCCGAAGCCTCCGCCGGCGCAGCTGTGATGCACGACCTCTCGGATATCCCATACGTCTGACCGATGACATCCCCTTCCACAGCGGCTTCCTCTTCACGTCGCCCAAGCAACTAAAGGCGGGCACCAGCGAGCGCGTCTGCGTCACGCTCTTCAACCTGCCCGGGCCGGGGCGGAACGTGACCCTCAGTCTCTCACGCTGGGCCGGGTCATCCCCCTGGACTAGGCTGGTGGAGCTGATACCAGACACGGTGGACGGTGAGATCCAAAAGGCCACAAACAGCGGGTGTTTGAATACGAGCCAGAAAAGAATGCCTGTCATTAATCTGGCGTTTGTGACGCGCGTAGGACATCACCGCATCGTTAAAGGGTTGTCGTTCTAATTATTTGCTGTTATGTTCGCGAGCGACAGCTCAGCACCGCAGATTCCTGGACACATAATATTCTGGACTGCTTCGCTACGATTGCCGGTTGTCGGAGCCCGCCTGATAACCTTACCCCTCTGTGTGTGTCTAGACTGTCTCTTTCTACTGCCACCCTGAGTGACTGTTGTTATTGTATCATTACCATCCTGATTGCCTGTTATCAACTGACACTGACGATCTGATTGGTTTGGTTTCCGTCGGCCATTCTGATTGGTTGTCATTCTGACTCTGCTGTTCTCCTCAGCTGATGGCGATCACTGTTTTGACCTGGACGTGCCGCGCTCGGTGACCAACTCCCGGGGCCACCTGGATCTCAGCATTGCCAACGCCGCCGGACTGCGCTTCTCAGACGAATCCAAGGTTTGTACCCCATATAATGCTACTGATGCGCGAGTGGGTTCGGACAATAAATATATCGGCGTCTTTTTTGCTGGTATCCACGTTTTGGGAATCATAGCACATGTTTCTGATTTCATAAGATTTTATGTAGGTAATGTGAAATCGCATTGATAGAAAGAAGACCGTGTGCTTCGTAAGCTTTGCTTAAAAAGTAATACATTTTCAAGCCAGCTCGTCCGTGATAAGTGCTATTTTGGCAGTGGCTGACCACAGCATCGGGCGTGTCCAGCAATAATCACAGAAGCACTGTTCAGCTGCGCCCGATGATTTCAAGTCTTTTGCGTGAGGCAGGCTTAATATTCTTAAACACTGTAGCACAAACCGGGTGTTACCTAGCACAGACGTTTAGTCTTCAGAACCCGCTTAGGAAGACCGAACCAAGTGGGAAGACGTTAGTTAACCCTTGCTCTGATCCCCTTTTTGTAACGCAAACTGAGAGGAGGGGGGGGGGTGATGTGACCTTCTGCCGGTTCAAACTAAGAATGATAGGAAACCCATTGATTCGTCTCAGCGAGGTCTGGCGAGTTGTAGCTGAATATTATGCTGCTGGGTCAGTAATTGACGGCATTTTTCCAGGTCAAACGGTGCCTTTTCCGAATCGCCTTTTCAGCTTTGAATGCCAGTATTTACGAAACCCCGTGCGAAACCATGTGGCGACATGAAACACAAACTGGCATTTGGCTTGTTTAAGTGAACGCACTGATATCCACCTGTACGAGTCTGACCGAATTTGCATGTTGTGGTGTTATAGTGTTGGTGTTATATCGATGTTATATTGGTGATGTTTTGGTGCTGGTCCAACGCGCGCGATCGGGGCATTCCCCGCTTGTTGTTGTCTGCCGCCCACGTCAGCCGTGGATCGCCGTGCAGTGTTACTTAAAAGTCACCGCTACTAGCCAAAAAGGCTAGTGACATGTTGCTGGTGTCAAACATCCGCAGTAAATGTCCCAGATGCTACTGAAAATCTGGGCGCTATGGGACGAAATGCCTGAGAGACCTTCTCATGTAAATTAAGGGGGCTTGCACTACCCCTCCCCTTCCCCCTCCTCGTTAGGACTGGGACTAATTAACACATTTTCCGCGAAAACAATATCTTAACGGATTTGACCACCTTTCATTTCGAAGTCGGTCGAAAGGAGGTGGTCAATGGGAAGTGGAGAAGACCGCAATCGACACCAGCGATTCCGATTCCCAGAGAGCCAACGCGCAGCAAAAACGGCACATTTACAGTTACTTTGTACAGTAATTTTACGGAAGGCCCATTCACGGAACGATCAATCTAGCCTAATCGTAGAAAACAGCACATAGAGTGGTGCACATATGCGCACACGTGAAGGCAGTTTCAGTCGAGTACGCTAGAGTCCCTTGCATTCTGAAGGTTGACGTGGCCGAACTGAAGTCAAAACAACTGGAACTGAATAAAGAACAACTGACGGAACAACACAGACTGTAGTCACGCGCTGCACCGGTAGCGTGCCGCGGCTGCAACGGCAAACCCACATCCATGGGCGCCCTTTCAGCCAGGCACCACTGCAGTTGGCTCTGGAGAAGTCGCGGATGGTGAGAGCCTAACCCAGAGGGTCCGCCGAGCGGGCTTCTCAAAGACCTCAGCCACGCGGGAAGGCGTAACCCACTCGACCTCATCAACAGACAGGAGGACACATGCTTTGCATCAGAATCAACTGAGGTCGTCACCGAACATGAACCACGATCAGGGGCTGAGAGTTGCCAATGAGCCTACTTAGCAGTGTATGCACGATATGGTTTTAGTTTTTGGCGCACTCGCGGAGCTGCAAAGATTATCCAGATCCTGGTGAATCACGGGACTACTCCGTTGCCATGGGGCGAGGCCGTGCTGGCAACATATTCCGCCGGCTAAGCGGTGTGTTTAAATGCAGATCATGACCGTCAAGCCACGGAAGCGGGTGATGGTTTGCGCAGCGTCAGCCGGCGGTCATTGCTCCTCAGTGTTATCTCCTCGATGAGTCCAGGGAGGATGAGCTCGAACTATGAACCGGTCACCCACCCTCACAGGCGCCTCAACCAACAGCGCCACCGAGGCGTCACCGAGCGGACAGACGGTCAGAGCTGTGCTCAACTAACTGGACTCATACCACGGACACGGAGCGGAGATACACAACTCGTAAAAACTGTGCTCGAGCTGTGCCCAACTGACTGAGCTCATAACACGGACACGGAGCGGAGACACACAACTCGTAAAAAACACTGCGTTTATCCCTTGTCGGCATCAACCAACATATGAGCCCACATGTGCTGAAGACCTGGAAATGTGTCGTGCTCCTGGTGTTTCCCCTGACACCGGCTTTCCAAGCACTCAGCGTCGGTCGGTATCGCCTGGTTACAGCGAATAAGCCGATAACCGGTCGGATTAAAGCTCTGTACAAGTTAAGGAGGGTGCGCCTATCGGCTCTTAAGGTCATACGAGAAATCACTTTCATGAGGTTCATGCGCCTAGGACACTTAAGCTTTATCATCTTCAAGTGCTGCTTGAATAGGAGCCAACGGTCAAATGTGAGACCCAGAAAACAGGTCTCATTACATACCGGAATAACAATAATATTCGGTCGTATCTCTGGGTCTCTACATTCCCGGCTCCTTCATCAGAAGTGCATGCACTTGGCTTTGGTTGTCAAGAATCTAAAGCCATACCAAAATGGTGTTGTCGACAATTGTGGATGTCACCTGTGAAAGAGAGGCTGCAGTGCCGTCCTCGGTCGCCTGTATTATGGCCTGGCGCTCGTCGACTACTTCTGCTTATCAGCTCGTCGTAGGTTCCCGTAGGGAGACCTCCTGCCTGGATGTCCAGCATTTATTCCAGCCCATATTGGGAAATGATCACTCTCACATGTGGCGCTCCTAACGGCCAAAAACAACCGCAAGAAAAGGGACGAGGAGCAGACAGAAAGATGTATCACTGAAGCGGTGCTGGACGGGTATATGGGTATATGGGACGGGTATATAGGTATAAGTGGTGCTGGAGAGATATATGGGTATGCAAGCGGGTGTAGCTTTGTGCCTTGTGAACCGGGCAAGCTCTTCATGTTCCTGGGCTCAAATGCCAGGTGCAGTTGAGTCAGGAGAAAATCCTGTGCGGAGTGAATTTTGGGACAACGAGGGTAAATGTGCCGTCCAAAGGTAAAACCGCATGTGCTCATCTCTGGCCATTTTGCGTTTTTTAATGTCATCTGACTCGTCTTCCTATGCCGAATTCAGATATTTAAACCAGTAATTGAAATTTGTTCAAGCTCGTAGCTAAAAGAACTGGCTAAAAGCTTGTAAAAATTTGAACTTAGGGCAAACGTTGTTTGGGCAAAGGCAAAGTTTGGGGCGAAACCAAAATTCTGCTCTTTTACGGCGGACTTGTCCGTCCAAATACTCTATCCAACCACTAACTACTGTTGAGGGCTAAGGTCGAGTCATCGACAGATTTTATTTTATGCTGTTCGAACCCTTTCCAAGGATTAAAATATGCCTCGGGTTTTATTGGGTGACTTGAAATTATCCACATTAAAACATGCGCATTGCTACCGCTTTGCCAGTCCAACTTCACACGAGACGTCCCTCTGTTGTTATGGATCACTTCAATGTGGACGTATAACACGTAGTGCCTGTATGCGATTGTGCGGAACGCGGATAATCAGATTTCGAATCGCTCCTCACCAAAATAAGCTGCATGTATCTTCCACAGGGCAATTGTTTTTTTGTTGTAAAGGTCTGGTTTGTGGAGGCGATTTCGTGAACCGTTTTATGAAGTCCCGCGCTTGTAAATACAAATCTTGGCCAAGCATCAGCATTGCAACCTGTATTGGTCACCGACGAAGAACGTTTCGTTCCGAAAAGACTTCCGGAAACGATGCTGCCAATTTTACGGCAGTCTACCTACTTGACGTACGTGCGCTTGCATTGTCCTGTTTTCCCGTCTTTCAGGTGGGAATCAAGCCATTCACGCTGCTGACACTGATGCAAACGGACAAGCCCAAGTACCGTCCAGGGGATAAAGTCCTGATTCGCGTCATATCTCTGCGATATGATCTCACTCCGCTTATCGAAAACGTGAGTTGCTGATTCTTGAAATGACACATTGCCGAATGCTATGAGGAGGAGGTTATTTAGAATAGGCTTTTAGCATGTCCAGTGATGGTTGCTAAATAGCTGCGATAGTCATTAAGAAATGTGTGCAGGTGGTGAGGCAGGTCGCCTATGTCCTCAGCAAACTTGTTCAGTGGTGACAGGTGCAGATGAAGCAGAGCCATTCTAGAGTTTTCTTCAGGTTCCGATGCGCTTTTGGGTTCCTCTTATGCTGAAAAGGAACTCATCTGCAGCGCTGTATAATTCAGTGCAAGCCATGTGCCGGATGTTTTTATCTCTCAACTGGCCATCGCTCTTCAGATTCCGGAGGTGTGGGTGACCACCCCAGACAACATTCGCGTTGCCCAGTGGAGTGACGTCGAGACCAGCGGAGGCCTGATCCAGCTGGAGGTGCAGCTGACCGAGGAGCCGCCACTGGTGAGATCACATAAAGGTCATGATCCCGCGCTGATGCAGCCATTCTCCCCCCCCCCCTCCTCCCCCCTGTCTGTTCCCTCCACTTAGTGAGATCCTACAACAGCAGAGGAGCCACCCCTGCTGACATTCTCCTTCCCCTGTTATGTTTTTTTCCACTTAGTGAATCCTACAAACAGCAGAGAGCCACCCCTGCTGACATTCTCCTTCCCCTGTCTGTTCCCTCCAATTAGTGAGATCCTACAACAGCAGAGGAAGCCAACCCCTGCTGACATTCCTCCTCCCCTGTCTGTTCCCTCCAATTAGTGAGATCCTACAACAGCAGAGGAGCCACCCCTGCTGTACATCTCCTTCCCCTGTCTGTTCCCTCCAATTGTGAGTCCTATCAACACAGAGGAGACCCCCCCTGCCTACATTCTCCTCCCCTGTCTGTTCCCTCCAATTAGTGAGATCCTACATACCAGCAGAGGAGCCTACCCTGCCTGACTATTCTCCTTCCCCTGTCTGTTCTCTCCACTTAGTGAGATCCTACAACAGCAGAGGGAAGCCCCAACCCCTGCTGACATCTCCTTCCCCTGTCTGTTCCCTCCAATTAGTGAGATCCTACAACAGCAGAGGAGCCGCCCCTGCTGACATTCTCCTTCCCCTGTCTGTTCCCTCCACTTAGTGAGATCCTACAACAGCAGAGGAGCCGCCCCTGCTGACATTCTCCTTCCCCTGTCTGTTCTCTCCACTTAGTGAGATCCTACAAGAGCAGAGGAGCCGCCCCTGCTGACATTCTCCTTCCCCTGTCTGTTCCCTCCAATTAGTGAGATCCTACAACAGCAGAGGAGCCGCCCCTGCTGACATTCTCCTTCCCCTGTCTGTTCCCTCCAGTTAGTGAGATCCTACAACAGCAGAGGAGCCACCCCTGCTGACATTCTCCTTCCCCTGTCTGTTCCCTCCAGTTAGTGAGATCCTACAACAGCAGAGGAGCCGCCCCTGCTGACATTCTCCTTCCCCTGGCCGTTCTCTCCACTCAGTGAGATCCTACAACAGCAGAGGCGCCGCCCCTGCTGAGATCACAGGAACGTCGAAAATCAGCTGTGGTGCAGCCATTCCCCTCCCTCTCCTCCCCTCTATAAAATCACGATCTGACCAAGCAATCATCCGAGGTGAAATCATTCCCCCTCTCCTTCCTTCCGGTAAAATCATACTCTGGCCAAGGAATTGTTGGAGGCGAAATTATGTTCCCTGTTCTCTCCCGACGTTAAAATCATACTCTGGTCAAGGAATCCTCCGTGGCGAAATATTCCCCATTTCCCTCCCTCCGCTAAAATTACGCTCTTGCCAAGCAACCGTCGGAGGTGGAATCATTCTCCTCTCCCTCCTGCCGGTCAAATCACGCTCTGGCCAAGGAATCGTCTGTGGTGAAGTCAATCAGCTACATGATGTCGACCTGCTAAGTTGCAGAGGTTCACCACTCGAAGAGGAAGCGTCACCAAGACTGGAAAAGCTGTTTACATACACCCGCGCGCTGCTGAAAGCAGTTCCGGTAGTCTCTGCAATTAACTTTCAGGGCAGATGGACCATCC